AGTACACATAAAAACATAGGAAACTTCCATTAGAACGACTTGACATCTGTTTAGCCAGCAGACGAGAAATAATTAGTTGTGTAAAAAAAGCGCATTTGAAAGTGGGTCTCTTTAGAGCACCCTAGTGTTGACAGGATATGATTTCTCAGCTATTCATCGAAAGAGTTTCTTTTCATACAGCTTTGTAGAAAATTGAATGGCGCGTCTTTTAAATAAAGGTTGAAGCCTGGGCAATGAAAATTGAGGGAGATATTCATGAAATACTGACACCGCCATTCTTTATGGGCCACCCGTTATAATATCTTTTAAAATTAATTTCAGTTCTAAAATTAGAAAAAGCTTTCTTGAAATTGATTATTTGAATAAATGATGTTGAACAAAGGTTTTAGCAAGTTAATCTGACTTAAGAATTCAATATTTTGCTTTTTAATCCATGGGTTGGTAACATATATGGAAATTAAATTTGAACAAGTTTATCTTCTTCACTTAAGGCTGTTTAGATAGAATGATAAAGTTTAAATTCAGTTTTAGAAAGATCTTATCAACCCAGAAATAATTCTACACTAGCTAAGTATAAAGAGCTTCAAAGTAGAAATCTTTTTAAAGTGATCAATAACGGAGAAAAATATAGAATTCAACTAATTTCATCGGCTTTGTCAGATGATAATAGAAAAGTCTCTGGTTGTTTTCATTCGTTCGATTAAATCACTTCATATTATCCATTTTGCACATCCATGTTTTGCATAACAAAGTTCAACTCCTACTTTTTTGAAACATCATATTTGAAGTAACATGCTCTTAGACTGACTTTTATTATCGTTAATTTCTACTTAAACATGACTACATACAAATTTCACAAAAAAAACGAAAATTTTTTGCGATTTTTACTCCATAAAACTTATGAAAAACAATGTTTCGATAGATTGAATTAATGAATTGTGAGTTAAGTAAAATATTCGATTCATTCACTCATATCTCGTCAATATGTTTAATATATAGAAAGATAATAATTTGAACCTTGCAATAATCTCCATGCTATTCGTCATGACAATTAGAAAAAAAAGATTGGTTTTGTTATTATTGCTTCATAGATGTTACAAATGAACTATTCTTCATTTCGTAGTTATAATTTAAATACAAAAAGTATCAATTTGATTGCATTTTATTGAAGAAACTAATTTTTAGTGTAAAGTATTGTTTATTAAAGTTAAATATAATAAGATAATTAAATGATAGGGTAGACTATGATTGAAATAGCCTTATTTTTTTTAAATGGTTGCCAGTCGGAAGTAATTTCTAATTCAAAAAATAATAATAATAAATTCTAATTTTCGATCATTTCCACACACATGGAGGTATTTTTATTCATAAACTAGCTACGCTTTTGAGTAGTATATGAATCGGTATATTTATTTGATCAAAGGTAAACTAGTAAATATCGGCAAAAAAAACATATTACAAAAATTTATATGTAGATCAAAAAAATAATTTTCAATCAGTTTAATGAAAAAGTCAATATCATTGTTTATTATTTTATCAATAGCAGAAACTATTCATTATCAACACAATCGGTTTCCAGTTAGTCATGCATGCAAAACTCATGTTGATCTTCATACAAATGTGATGATAGATATTATATCAATAGAAAAACATATGGATTAACATTAACAACATATGCGCAATTATTTTGCTGATCAAAAAAGGTTGTGCATATTAAATCAAAAACTTAATAATAAACTATCTATAGTTGTATTTGAATTATGTTTTTAGAAGTAAAAAATATTATCAAAGGACCTGTATATTCTCATTTAGTCATTCGTGAAATTTTAAAATTAATATAAGATGTTTTAGCTTAGATAAAGTTTTTCATAAACAAATATTAATCTTAAGTTTGTCATTTATTTATTGAAAAATAAAAGCTAAATAAATATACGAGATTGAAAAATAGCTAAATATTCAGTTTTTATTTATTGATGAGGTTTTATATAATTAAGTACACAACCATCTGCTGGATAAATAGTTGGTAAATACATAATTTTATCTTTATTGGGTCGATTAGCACGTTCAAAATCCATATCAGTTAAAAGAGACATAAATAACATAATATGATTCATAGCATAACGTTGTCCAAGACATGAATGTGGTCCAGCACCAAATGTTAAAAAATTTTTATCAAATTTTGTTTGTTCCATTCTTTCGGAATTAAATCGTTCAGGATCAAATTTTTCTGGATCAGGAAAACCAACACGATTTGAACTCCAAATACTTGGAATAACTATAGTTCCTGTTGGTGCTGTATAATCTTCTGATATTTTTACTGGTTTTTTTGCTAGATGAAGAGCTATAGTTGCTGGTGGACGTAATCTTAGAAGTTCTTTCATTACTTGCCATGTATATTTCATTTGTGTTAATAATTCAGGTGTGATTGGAGCTAATGGATCCGGACGAATAATTGTTTGTTCTTGACGAACTTTCTCAAATACATCAGGATGTTTACAAAGTTCATGAATAGCAAATGTTAATGAACTAGTTGATGCATCTTGTGCAGCAAATAAAAAATCTAATGCAATTCTAGCTATTTCTTCATCAGTACTATGTAATGGTCTAGATTGATTATTTTGTTGAGCATCATTTATTGCTTTAATAGCTGAAACCATCCAAAAATCTATTAAACATGTAGGTTCTTCTTGTTCCATTGACATTCTTTGTCTACTTTTTGTAACAATACATTGTAATGATCGACGAATAGATTCAGCAGCACGAACACCTTTATAAAGTTGTGTTCCGGGAAAATAAATAGGAGGTGCAAACATTCCACGAGTTAAATTTGTATAATCTTTTTTGAATTGTTCACGAATTTCATTTGTTATATAAGGACCAATAAAAACTGATAAACTTGTATTTATATTTAAATCATAAATTAATGAACGCATTTCTATACCATCTTTTGCATTTTGACTTATTTGACACCATTTTTTCATATGTTCTCGAATAGCTTCTTCTTGAATATGTAAATAAATTGAAAGAGCTTTCGTTGTAAATAAAGGTAATAATGTCATACGTAATGTTTTATGAGTTGAACCATTCATAAATGCAATATTATCATTTCCTAATAAACGAACTGCATTTGGATGTAATATTAATGGCATTTCAGATGAACATCGTTCAAAAATTTTTCGACTATTTTCACTATCAGCTATCAATACAAAAAATCGACCAATAATACTATTCCAACTTAATTTACCATATTCCATTTGACCATGCCAAAAATCATAAGGTGCTAAAATCATATGAATAATACCACCAATAAATGGAACAGTCAATTTTGGTCCAGGAAGTGAACCACGTTTAGACATATAAACAAATTGTTCATGTAAATATGCAACTATAAGACCACAGACAATTATCGATAACCAAACAGTTAATGTCCAAGAATTCACTACACCCAAAGCAGTTAATAATAAAGATATCATTATTGAATAGTATTCAATTAATACAATAAAAGAAAAAAAAAGAATATCTATATATATATATTCGACGGACAACGTAAGAACAATCTAAGAAATGAAAATGAACTTTCGTCTATCGAATATATTTGACTGATGAAATTTCATTTGTTTTTTTTTTCTTTTTCTCAGATATTCGTATTTTTATATCGATAAGTGAGTAGTTGGAGACAACAAACAATTGAGATCGAATGTTTTCAATAATAACTATGAGAAAGAACAGAAAAAAAAGCCTCAATTTCTTATTTCAACAGTTTCTTTATGCATATTCTTGAAAAAAAATATAGGACATCTACATAAATGCACAAAACCACATGAGATAAAGTATAGAACGCAATAAAAAGCAACCCCTTTTTTTTTTTGTCCTCCGGCATGCATTTTTTGTTACTTCTTGATGACTATTCAGGCACAACATGCAATTGTAATAGAAGAGTACTCAATCAACAGAATAAGAAAGAAAAAAAAACCATGGTTTTTATTTGAACAGCTTCTTTCTCTATACTCACGAAGGAATATATTTTTCTTTGTTTAAAAAAGCGAAATGAAGAAAGACAAAACACAGAACGGAAAACGAAATCAGTTACGTCTGGTTAATAGAAGACTGGGTAAAAAATTATCAAGGATAAATAGAGAAAATAAGTTGTTTATAGTCGTCTCAATGACAAATAAAAAAAACAGAAAAGCTATTGAAATTGCAATGTTAGAAACAATTTTATAAAAAGCAATTAAATATTACTAAAAATATCAACATCAAGCATCACTTAATTATGATGCGATTCTATGGCAGCGTTGTTGTTGTTGTCACCGTTACGATGACAGCGGTAGATTTTTCAAACAGTCGACGCAGAGCGGTAGTGACGTGGATGATGTTTTCATAATAACATAACAACAACCGTGCGACAACAGTAGATTGTTTTTTTGATGTGTCAATACTGCATAACTACAAGTGTTTATGCAGGATTTCAGTGTAAAAAAATATAAAAACCTAAGATTAAATAACTTCGATGGATTATAAAGCACAGTTCTTGTTCGTTAAAATGATTTCAGTGATTCTTGAAAAATTTTGTTTTTATATGATTTTTTTTAGAATATCCTCTCACTAATGTTGTCCTATTTTCGGCTTGCATCTAGTTATTTTCTTGAGAAAGTGTTATATATAAACCGGGAGATTACAATGTCAATGTAAAACGCCAATGGTACTTGTAAATAAGCTATCGGACACTATGATTAAAATATTTGGTAATGTTTTTTTGAATCAACAAGCAGATTTTTTAATTATCTTCTATTGGTTCTCGAGTGCCGATTTTATTCTTGTTGTCTATCTACTAATAATAGTAATATAGAAAGTGTGTAGGTGTCGAGAGAACATTAGTAACCTGATTGTAAAAAATATTGATTGTAGTTATTAATTTATTGTTTTCCAATAATTTCATAAATGAAAAAAAAATTTATTTAAAAAATTTTTTCTGGTAAATCAAAACCATTAAGAAATATGTCCCATTTATATTTTGGTATATATTGAAAAACTGTGTTTAAACGATTTGAAAGATTTTTGCTTGATACACGTATAAAAATTTTTATAATTCTTTCTGAATATTCTTTATAAATATTTGCATAAATTTCTGGATCTTTTTGAAAGATATCTCCAAATAAAATAAATTTTCTTGAACGTGTTTCTTGAAAAAACATACGTAAAATTTTTGTTTTTTGTTTTATAAATGATTTTGATGAAAAAAATTGAAAAAAATTCATATCAAACCATGTAAAATGTCGCATATGATAAGAACCTAATGGAAATTGTTCATCTTGAATAAATTCATGTAAAAATGGATATAATTGATCAGGTGATGCAGTTAAATAATGAAATGTTGCATTATAATATGATTCATAATGACGATAACGTTCAGACATACCTGGAACTGATTTATATTGACCAGAAAATGTATTTCGAAGTATAGAACGAATACTTGTTACTCCTGTTATTTTAATAGTATCATCCTTAATAAGATAAAACAAACATTTTATTATCAAAATAAAATTAATAATTATTTCAAGATAAGATTATAGTACAATTTATATTCGATTAAAATGACGTTCTGATTCATTTTGAATGAGATTATGAATCTATTTTAGATCAGTGACTAATATCGGCGCCAGAAGTCAGTGCACTGGGATGTTTTTTGAATAACTTTCGATAGGAATAAGCTAGAGACCTGCGGTTTTCAGCATTTGATAGCCAAGACCCATTTTGCATATTTTCATAAGCAAAATCTTTTCTGAGAAAAAAATTCGAAGATCGGTTTTTCAGTGGATCTGTAGAAAACGACGCTGGATTTCTTTAAACTGTCGTAGAAGTATATTGATTTTTTACATATTCGGAATCAGCATCGAAAACTGAGCCGATTCATATATGGTTCGAATCTTTTCATCAACTTTTGTTTCGTCGAAAAATTCGTCGCTAATTCCCCTCTGACGGGCAGGTAAAAAAATGAACTCAGTCAAAACGCCATTTTTATTATTTATTCATTTGCCATTTTATGTTCTTCTAGCATTTTACAACCTCTGAGCGTGCTTTCCACTATCTAAGTACCTTTTTGACTGAATACATTTTTTACCTACCCGTCGCGGAGACTACGAACGAATTTTTCGATGAAAAAACTAAGTTCATGAAAAGATCCGAACCATACATGAATCGACTCAGTTTTTGATGCTGATTTCGAATATGTAAAGAAAAATGAATATACTCCTACGACAGTTTCCAGAAACCCAGCGTCGTTTTCTAAAGATCCGCTGAAAAACCGATGTTCGAATTTTTTCTCAGCAAAGATTTTGCTTATGAAAATATGCTCCTGGACCTTGGCTATCAAATGCTGAAAACCGCAGGTCTCTAACTTGTTCCTATCGAAAGTTATTCAAAAAATATCCCAGTGCACTGATTTCTGGCGCGGATATCAGTAAATATTTATTCGTAGAAGATCAAGTTCATCAACAGTACAGAAGAAGGTAATACTGTCAACTATAATTTGAAAATTAGACTTTTTCGATGCGATCAATAATATGTACGGATTTTTTTCTATTTGAAACTGAGTTTCTATCGTTAATATGAACTTCAAGTCATATTCGTGCATTTTTTCACAGTACATCATTTGTGATTCTTCAAAAACAATTTGGTTAACTCGTATTATTTTATTAAGTTACATTAATAAAAGTTAAACGATTTAAAGTTTATGATAGGGATAGAAATTCAAGTAGATACCGAAAAAAAAACAGTACATATTGATGGTCTTATCGAAAAACGTTTAAGTTTTGAATTGTTTTGCGAAAATATTACTTTTTCTACATTTTGATCTGAATACATATTTCTTAACTTCACGGGAAGTAGGAAAAAACTGTATTACAAAAAAAAGGTGTTTTTTTCCTCATATTTTTACTAAATTATCCAAAAATACAATAATAAGTTCAAATTTTTACTTCAATACTCTTTTGAGGCAGTGCTTTACGAAAACAATTCCATTATATCTAATTATGATTTTCGATTCGATAAGACGTATTAATATAAAACTTACAATATCGCTTATAATCGATATTCCATTATCATCACATAAAAATATTTCTCCTTTCGTTTGAATATTTTGATCAAGTGTTGATAGAAAATATTCAATTTTTCCATATGTTCCACCAGGAACACGAAATTGTTGAACTTCATTATTTGATAATTGAAATTCTTTTTTAATTAAACCTTGTCCATCAGTTTTAATACATGTTTCATATGTTAAATCCTCAATACATAAAGTTTTATGTTTTTTTCCACTTGCTGTAAAATAAGAAACACGTTTTTTATCTATATTACTAACGATTGGGGAAAGTGCTGCCATGGCTAATTTTGCACGAAATCGATTTTCTTCAAAAAACCAACCTAAAATAAACATTTTAAAAGAAAAATAATATTTTGTTTAAAATAAAAATTAAACCTTGAGCATAAAGGATCCAATCATCCGAAGGATGAGCATTAATTGTTGATTTAATATCATTTGAATGATGACGAAAAGCAACTGATGGAACAATTATTAATTGTTTTTCACCAGATAATAAAAAATTTAATGTTAATATACATTGTTCAAATAAAAGAATATAGCTAATAATATTTAGACCTTTCAACATGGTTAACAAAAACACAACTAATGTATCCAATTATATCCATATATATATATATTATTTCTCCATTCGTCATCAATAATCTACATTATATCTATGTTGTTGATGTCGACTGGATTGGTTTTTTTTTTGTCTTTTCCATCTTATGTTATTAAGTATCCACTGAGTTCTTTTTTTCTTTTCTATAGATATCATAGAAAATAAAGATATAAGTTTATTTGCTTTTGATAAGTGTCATAAATAATAAAATAAAAGATTCGACATATTAAAATGAGAGATGATAGAGGTTGTTTCCATGTTTCATTTCAATTTCAATTTTTTATGTTCATTTTTCATATTGTGATTGTATTTATTTCTTGGCAATATTATTTAACAACAAAAGAACATTCAAAAATTTTTATAAAAACAACATGTCAAATAAATCAAACATTAACTGCAAATATATATTGTCCAATAAGAAATAAAATGTTTGTATCTAATATAGAAACAATAAAAGAAGCAAAGAAATTATGTACAACAACATATTATGGAATTATTTACGGAAATAATTCATTTACATTTTTTGATCAATTACCTAATTGGTTTTCTCCAATTGATTTAAAAAATCTTAATCAAAATTTAATGATTTTGTCGAAAAAATCTTTTCTTAAACCAATTAATATAACATGTTATTATAATCGTTTAAATCATAAGGAACTTCGATGGATAGAACCTGATCCAAAAACACTTATTCAAATAATTCTTCTTAGTTTGTTCTCTCTTTGTCTCATTTTAATTCATTGTTTTGACGAATGTTATCGCCATAAACGGTCAAATAGATGATAACTTACACTTTTTTTTTTTTTACAGAATAATAAAGATTTGATACGAAAAGAAAAAAAAACTCTAACTATCGACATGATAGTCGCGAACAGAAATATTTCGTAGTTCATCCTGTGAGATGTTCTGCAAAGTTTTGGATAGTCAAATATGAATAAAAAGAACTGACTTGTTTTCATTAGAGCCTCTGACATTTTAGTTTTATTTTTACACCATAAAACGTTTTGTTTCTGCTCGAAAAAAATATTTCGATTGTTCATAAACTATTGAAAATAATATCCCTGATAAAAGTCGCTAAGGATATTATTTGGCGGTCAACGAAAGCATATGAAGTTCTATCGATCAACTTGGCATTCATTGGAGTTTACGTTTCCTAGAGGTATCACGAAAAACGAGCATATATTTCTATTTTGGTCGAAACTGTAACACGTTCTAATAAATCAATTTGCTTGGCGAATATTTCAATGTATTAAATAGTTATGTCCAATCGCATCAGTAAACGCATATATTTTGCGACTTCTATTCGAACTAAATATTCATAGGAATATCCGCCAGCTTGAAGCTCATCTAACAATAAATAATTTTACTTGTTCACTTGACTGCAATCTGCTTAAATGAATTTCGAGCAAGATAATAATAAAGGCACAGAGATTTTGTTTTTCAATATGTTTAAAGTCAACTCGAAGATGATTATTTCATATTTTCTCGTTATACTTGTATTATTTACTGTAGATAGGAGAGTGAAAAAACCCTAACAGTAGTGTTTAACTGCTGGTATGATAAAAACAGGGCAACCCTTCAAAAAATTCTTCGAAGATATGACATTAAAAGTGGAACATCCATGCTGTTAGAGGACGGACCTTCTGCACGAGTTATGCACATCTCTATTGTGTCACAGTACACGACAGATTTAATTGCAATATGAGATGGAATACAAAATACTGAGTTACTGATACACAAATAGTCTACAGCAAAAAACAGTAGTTAGATTAAATTGAAACAGTAGACTATTTAACATTTCAATATCTACACAAACTTCTGAATATCTATTAGGTAAATAAAATTATATTATAAATTAATTTTAATTGTATAATATAAAGTTTTTTTTTATATATTGAAAATTTGGTATAAATTAATTTTTATGTACTATACTTTAGTCAGAAGGTTAAAATATCGAAACATTTTTAGCAGTTCTATTTTTTGATATTTTTATTGTGCTTATTTTCTTCTAAAATTCTAAAGCCGTATATGATTTATTGTCCACTTCTGCGAGTGAATAATCTGCGACAAAAAAAAATAGATTAAATTACATACATGATAAAATTGAATATTTAGTTTTGGATTTTATTGTTTCTGTTTACCGTATGGATTAGTTGATGCCTGTTGGGAATTGCATACTGGATATTTTTTATTTGGGAATTTGATCTAGTTAAATTGATTGTTTTAACTAGATTTAAAGGGAAAAAAATTCTCTTCGTATGACATTATAAAATAACGATTCAATTACATATTGCCGGCATTATTTTGATAAACGAAAAACAAAATGTTACATATATTTTTCTTCGTTGTATTTCTTGTATCTTCATCCAGTACACTACCTTTAAGTGATTTCTTTCTATTTGGATCTGAAAATGGTGATTCAACGATACCTCCAAGCAACACAAGTGTCGGTCCTTTACATCTACCATATGTATTTCCTTGTTTTGACAATAATTATTATGAAATTTGGATAAATAGCAATGGTTTATTCTCTTTTCGTCGACCAAATAATTATTTTTATCCAAGACCACTTACTTCATTGAATGATAGTTGTCTTGTGGCCGGATTTTGGCATGAATATATTTGGAGTCAAGACAATGATACTGATAATGAAATTTACTATCAAATTCATAGTAATACATCGGTATCAAATTACACAGTGACAGTTTTTAATAAAGCAAGTGATTATGTTCGAAAATTCTTTCCTCAGCAACGCCCATTCAAACCAAGAATGGTAATTACTGGCACTTGGTATTCCATTGGTATCAGCACTAATAATACTAACACATTGAATAATACCTTTCAAATTGTATTATGTACAGATGAAGATCGTAGTTTTATCTTTTTTCTTTATCATGATATTCAATGGGCTAATCCTTACAATAGATCGTATTATTATACTGAAGCAGGGATCCACAATAGTGATCGAAATAAATCTCAAGTGCTTCCGTATTCAGGCACAGAAGATACTGTAAAATTAGTCGATGAGAGTAATGTTAATGTACCTGGCTTATTTACTTTTCGTGTTGATGCAGACGAGATCAATGCAGGTGGTTGTAATGAAAATATAACAATGGTTTCCTTCCGTCCTCGCATTAGTTCACAATTTGGCTCTACAGCTCTCAATATTTATGGTCCATGTTTTACAAATCAAACAAAAGTCAAATGTCGATTTGGTTCTTCACCGCAAATTATCGATGGGTTTATTATTGATGAATTTCGAGTTAGTTGTCTTACACCATTTGCTTCTGTGCATGGACCGGTGCCAGTGAATATATCCATTGATAATGGACAAACATTCATTTCAGCTGGTACTTTTACATATGCTCCATTACANCTACTTTAACCATATCCGTATTTTAATTAGAAAATTGAATAATTTAGTTTTTTTTAATAGTCCATGCCTGGTGCTGCTTTTTTAGACGGTTTTTCTATCTATGATGTAGGCTTAGCATACGTGCAACAAAAGCTCGCGTATGACCACACCCACACCCCACATGTGATTGGATTGATCTATGACAAAATGCACAAGATGGATTTTGATATCCTCACAAAAAACGATACTGAAGCGCATGTCGGCATTCACACCGACATTTACCCTGTCTAGTATTTTGGATACACATATTACTTAGGCTTTTAAAGTAGTGTTTTATATGCAAAGAGCTGAATATTCAGTCGAGAGTAAAGCGAGTCTTGCGACGATCGTTACTTATGACGTTATGCTGAAATATGGCAGGTGAGTGTAGATGCATGTGGCGGTTGTGCATTATACCTTTGAAACGATGCTTGTTCAGAAATAGAGTATTATTAATGAGTACGACAAATTTCCCTTGATGAGAATATCCAGGATGTTACTGTTTTCTCGAAATAATCCTACCATCAAAATATTTCTTCTCATAGTGTGGTCATACGCGAGCTTTTGTTGCACGTATGCTAAGCCTACATCATAGATAGAAAAACCGTCTAAAAAAGCAGCACCAGGCATGGACTATTAAAAAAAACTAAATTATTCAATTTTCTAATTAAAATACGGATATGGTTAAAGTAGAACGTTTGTGTACCAATTTAAATGGCATGTAGTTATTATACTTACTTTAGCAGATAATGCAAAATTTCTTGCACAGTCTTCTATTATCGGAGGAACTTCTCCAGGTTTAAAATTACTTCTTGATGGACAATAATGAAATTGAGTTTTACAATAAAACTCAGTAGTCACCTTTTTGAGTATGTTATATATAAAAACATTCTTCTGTGAAATAGTAATTCTTTTTTCTTACATGATTTTGTTGAAAAATTCGATTACACAAGTGTGGAAAACCAAATCATATCAGAATTTTCCATTTCTTATAATAGGACGCATCCAGTGAATACAGTCTTCATCGAGAAGCGACTTTTCACTTGAAAAGATTCTTTCAGCAGATATGTTTCGAAAAAATAATTCTTTCAGAATCTGTATTTCAAATGTTGTCGAACGATGTGTTCAAAATTTGACCCTTGAATCCATGTACAGTCCCATTTTGACTATTCTAATGTCATCTGATTCATTTCTAATAAATTAAGACATGGCGTATTCAAAATATTTATTTAATATCTATGTATAATAATCGTCGAAGAAGTTCCAACAAGTGCATCAAGCATAGAGAATGACCTGAACTTCAAAATTTTAGCTACAAAGAAGCAATACTTTTCTCTTCATCTCTTTTCAATGATGTTATACCTAAAATCAGAAAAAGAAGTATTCCAAAACTTCGTAAGAGTCTCATAGATTCATCCGCATTTAATTTTGAGCACATAAATCCAGTGTTTTACTGTACGATTCTTCATTTAGTAGAAATGCACACAATGTTTTAACTTTGATAAAAAGAGATTGGAAACCGTGGCTAAAAGGTTACAAAATAAAACTAGTCGATCCTTTTCTGATAAAACTTTCATAGTCAAAAAATAATGCTATGATCATTTGACGACTTTTAAAAATTATCCCGACTTTTTCTTTTCATATGAAATTATTTTTTTATTTATGGAAGAACGTTTTTCAACTTATTTTCGATGCTGAAAGTAATAAAATATTACTATTATAAAGCCAAAAGGCTTATTCTACTCGAAGCTGTACATGGTTCTTATGTCAAATGTATTGTTTTTAAAAGATAACAAAACTAATGATTTCGAACAACTATTATATTTTTATTTCAAATCAATTGTTTATTTTTATTTTTTTTATTTCAAAAGTTAAATCCAATTGCAAACGCTGGAATGTTCTTTTGATCTTGCATACCCATTTTTTCGAAGAAACGTTTTCGTTCTCGTTCAGCAAATATCGTTTGTGGATCGTGTGTTTCATAATAGAGAACTGTTTGAGCTAATTTTTCAATCGAAAGCCATGGTTCAAATGTCGATTTTGTCGGACCTGAACGTACGATTGCAATATCATCGTAAACCGAATGTCCAAGAAGACGTGAAGCAATAAAATTCATTACTTGCCCATTTGTTTGTTGCATTTGTGTCGATCTACCGTATACATAGTAATACCAATCCGATGTATCTTCGTGATCGTAGAATTTGCCTGTTTCACAAAGATCATCATGCATACCAAATTTTGAAATAAGTTCACGTTTTTCTGATATTTCACAACCGTATGATTTCAATGTGATCGGTTCCAAATCAGAACAAATTGATTGAATATCCGTTAATGATGTTTCATTTGTTCCTTGTGCACGAATAATGATACAATTATATTTATCATTATTTTTCGATGAAGAGCATTTAGATGAGTTCATTGTTTCTGATTGATGCTAAAGAAATATTCTTTCTTATGAACTATATATGTGCATGTCCATTTTCTTTCTCTTTCTCTTATATGCATCTATTCTTTAGTTCTTCTTGCTCACTTGAAATTGTTCGTTCGTTTCTATTTTCTCACGATTAATAAACATCGACATTGACCTTCCCTCTTTTATTCTTTTTGCGCATTAACTTTTCTATCGCATAGTTGATAATACGTGATACTGTTATCATTATATACATACATATGCATTTCTTCTATTCATAGCAGAATGGTTATTGCTGGCATTCTCTTCTTCTTTTGTGCTTTCTTCTTTATTATTGAAATGAAATTGAACTCACGTTCAACAAAAAGACAAAACTTACAATTGAGAATGCAAAGCACGAAATGAACAGAAAGGATACGAGCACGATTACATAAGTGATGTGTCGAGATGTAATTAGACATTACAATGAAAATCGTGTACGCAGAAGTTAATTAATTTGATCGCACATTCAAAATCTTTCATCAATAACGAAATAGGCACAATAACTTAGCACTTGATTCATGAAAAATATGTGCAACTTTTTGTTAGACATCTCTTACACTGGCAACCATTCGTTCAATCAGTTCAAGATGTTGATTTGTTCTTTCAAATTTTTAATGAAAGTATTTGTCTAATCGATGCATCAATTGTTGATCATATATCAACTCCTCAATAACTAAATATGTCAGTTCAGATTCAGGTTGAACATGCTTTTTGTTATAATTTTTATTCCTAAATAAATTTATTGCGCGTTCTGTGATCTTAATTCAGTACTCATCAACTTAGCAAAAAACGAAATAAATCAAAGTTTATTGTGCAAACAATTGATCTATTCGTTTATTTTTGCAACGAAGTCGCTACAATACAAAGAACAAATGCTATTTCAAACTTTTGTATTTTCTTTTTCAAACAAAAGTTTATGTCAGCTACCTTATTGAATAATTGACTATTTCATTTTTTTTTCTCTTCGTAGGTCTATTTCTTCTTATCTACTTAAGGATTGAAAAAATTCAATCAATGAATAGAGTGAGACTATCCCCGATAGTCGCAGTTTTTTTTTCTTACTTTTGAGGCTATCATCCCGAACTTTATTTTTAACATGTTTGTTGCTTATGCAAATATTCGATTTCGTCAAATAAAATATATGGATTATAATAGTTCATTTAACATTTTATGAAAAAAATAAATTTGTCAACGTAGCTACATTGAACTTGAGGGTGTGGATGTACATGTGAATACCAATGTGATAAAGACGTAAACGCACACCCCTTAAGACAAAATAAAATTGGTACGAACATGGGGAGCTGAATCAATCGGTGAATATCAAAAATGTTAAATTACTTTGAAGACAATAACACACAAATAAATTCGGTCAATATTCAAAATTAATGAAAATCATTTGAAGTGAAAACATTGAAACAGTTTCAGATTTCCAGTTTAACTGGGACTACGTGTATCAAGTCAGTCTACATGAGCTACGAATATCCTGAAAAGAGTTCGAGCAGCTAGCTTATTACTCTATACTCTCGAGATATTGCATTTTTAGGATATTTTTAAGCAAAATCTCGTGGTCCCCTCAGTAATTAGAAAAGTAAAGTTTTTAATTTCGACTTGAGAGGGCTGGACCATTTCCCTCTCTCAAAGAGAAACTGTTCCACTTCAAGCAGAAATCCTTAAACCACATAAAGTCAAAAGGAAACGCTTCTTTTCTACGAGACTACCTTCATTCGACTACATCACTAGACAAGACTACGAACAATAACAACGAGAACTGCTACATCCATTTATCCATTCATCACCAGAAATCGAAAACACTTCGAGAGATATGGATCGTCTCTAATTTCTTCATCATTGCGATGTCTCTAGTGGAAATGGATTTTTTCTATTACAAACCGTTATTTTATAAGCAGAAGTGGTTCATCCATATCACCACTCACTAGCAGAAATTGAAAAGAGTAAGAGACAAAATGGATAATTTTTTTACCGTCTTTAGGGATGTTTCTAATAAAAAATGTTTTTTTTTTCAATGAGAAACCGTTATTTTTCAAGGAGATGTGCTTCATACAAACCATCACTCACAAGCAGAAATCGAAAAGAGTAAGAGAGAAATCGATAATTTTTTTTCGTCTTGAGGGATGTTTCTAATAGAAATGGTTTTTTTCTATGAGAAACCGTTATTTATTAAGTAGAGCTCCTTCATGTATATCTCCGGTAACAAGGAGAAATAGAAAAGAGGGAGAGAGAAGTGGACATGTGTTTTTGGTTGGTTGGAATTATTGTATGTAGGAAAATGGTGTTGGTTTTATGAGAATGGGTCCTGCTATATTGATAAGTTTTTGACTTATATCACCTTCATTTATTTGTCGTATCGTAGTTACAACGTTGTATTTTAAATTGTGGAAGATCGTTAGTTTGACGTTGATTGTTTTCGAAGTTAGCTTTAATTATTTTATGAATAAGCGGTTTCAGAAATTGAAAGTGATATCGGCAAGTGAATGATCAAGAAAGTTTTTGTGAATGAATACTATTTTGATAACGTTTTTGTTACGTAAATAGTGTTGAGTGGAGAACAATTTTTGAGCATAAATTCAGCAACAGAACATTGAGTCTAGTTAATTATATGATGATAAGGGAATTTTAGGTAAATTCGAGAAACGTTCATTTGTTGGAGTTGAAAGATTGATGGAGATGATCGTGAAAGTTGAAATTGTGTCAGTCAGTGTAAGTTCGATAGGGTATATGTAAATATATTTATATATATGTATATATGTGTACTGTTTTTTTCTTTCTTTCCATTTTTCCTTGATATGTGTGACTTTATGTAGGGTGAAGCATTTCCGCATAAAGTGGAACAACTTACCCCATCGACTGGTCCAATGGTTCACTGCTGTCCTATCCTAAGGTACAGCTAAAAAGGATATTTTTATATCGCTAGTATATCTCCGACATGTTTTGATGTTCGTATTTTAGAACAAGAACAATCACAAGATCTGGAACTTTCACAATAAAATACTCTCATTGAAACTTGTTTCTGTCCGAAGTTCGGTGTGGATGTGGATGATGATGTGATTGTTGATGTCGGCACATGAGTTATTTCTGTCTTTTGTTTACCAACACCCACATCCACACCCTCATTGTAAAATATTATGATTGAGAACATAAGGCAACAAGCAATCGAACTTTTTCTAATGTACAAATTTCTTTAAAACTCATTTGTAATTTTATCTTTACAGGAAACTAATCGAAAAGTTTCACTTTGTTAAATTGATATATAATCATTTTTGTAAAAAGGTATAAATTGAAACATTAATGTATGAACAGTAGGAGTAAATCGTAATAATTCAATTAGTTTCATAAATGAGAAATGGTGACATTCAAGAATTAATATAGATAAGTATTCTAAAGGGATAATACGCCTGAGAATGCTTGAAATCGACTGATAAGCAGTATAAAAACCATTTTCGAAAGTAAGTTTAGTAGTATTTCGAAAATAATTCATGCAATTGATCATTTCATTTTCACATTGAATTTGAACATGATGAAGTGATGTCAGTTTAAATTCGGAAGAGTTTACACATGTTTTGTCATTCGATTGTAGTGATAATACATAATACTTAGATCATACCAAAAATAGTGACAGACGTACTTTAATTCTTTATAAAAAGCTTTAAAAAATTTTCTTTCTATATAATCTGATAGAGAAAAGAATGCTCTACTTTTCTATGCTGTTTCATCATACTTCAACTAATATAATAATAATAAATTTTCGATAAAACTTGTGATACTATGATCGGTGCCTGACAGTACTAGTGCCTCTTCATTGGATATTTTGTAGGATAACTTTTGATACAAGCAAGATGGAGAACTGTGGTTTTCATCGTTCGAAGAAGAAGATAAATAAGCATTGAGTCATATATCCTAGTTTATTTTTTGACATAACTCTTAAAGATTTTCAATCAATCTTTTAAAAACAAATCTACTTGTGAGATGTTTACAATGAATCCTCAATTGTCAGGTGTATATCTACAAGTTCACCCGACTTTTGATCGAAAATAAAAATCTCAAAAGACAAAAATATTGAAAGTCGGAAATCGTAAGGTAAAAATATTGAATACTAAAAATATCAAACAGAATAAAGATGGATCTAAATGTGGATACAAGACTGGGTGATGAACTTTGTCGCTTCTGACATTATCATTTTTAACATTCGCAACTTTTGATATCTCTATAATTTTTATTTTCGAGATTTTTACCTCTTGATATTAGTCCCAGGAAAATCAATCGAACAATCGTATTCGTGAAGAATTCGATCAGATTCTATCGGGATTTCTATAACACCGGCAAAGTCCTATTGAATCCGGATCACGGAATGACATTCGGACCGCTATTATCAGAATATAATCTAATTCTACTGTCGGAATTCAAGTAGCTCTCTATTTGGTTTGTATCAAAGCTATTCAAAAATATAAAGCAGGCATTAGTACTTACTACCGGGCAGATATCTTAGTAAAACAAAGTCTTATCGAAAGTTTATTATTATGATATTAGTTTTGTTGATGTACAATATGACGATACTTTCATCTGGCCACGAAGTTGATGTCGATTATCATGCGATAGGAGCTAATTTCATGGATAGTAGTTTCCTCACACAATATCATCTACATGGTTCGAATGATCGTTCTGGCTCAACTGCAATGTATGGCAGATCATGGTGCAAATTTTATTTCGATAAGTTTATGATTCGTCAATGAACCTGGCAAAACAAATGGTCAACAGGAAAATAATAATTTTCATCGATTCGTTCGAGATGTTGCATCCATTCAGAGCACACTAGACGGCTATCGATTACGTCTAGATGTAGGACTATTTTGGTTGAGAGTAGCTGATTACGCCAGAGGCAGTCTTGCAATTAAACTTGGATACTCTAAATAAAACACCAGTGAATTTACTTTACGCATTGAAAAGACCACAGACAGCGTTCTCGAAGTACTGAAGAATGTCTCTCGACTAGATAGTGTTCTATTGCTTCAGAGTATTTTATTTCGCAGCTGAACTAATGATTGGAGCCAAGGTACATCAGGGCTAGTTCCTTATTACACATTATTCACGGTTCGTTGAGAAAGTTAGTACAGTAGGATGCACTCTATCAATCTATTTTCTCGCTGATACAAAGTATCTCGCTTTGAATGAACAGCGATCAATGTACTGGATCTATAGAAGTCTTGAATTTCTTGTTGATCAACGCTTACCAGTATCAAAAACAATTGATTTCTCTTCTTATATCAATCGTCATTTTGCAACATATCTGAATTTAGTGAATCACATTCTCGACGATGCTCACGCTTCATTAGCAACTCTGAGCAGAAACATATTATTTTGTTCATGATACCCAAAGAAAAGAATATGGACACGCATTCACTTTAGCAGCAACATTAAATCCGCGGAAATAAAAAGAACACATCAAATTATTAAAGATTTCATCTACAAATGCGTATCAAGAAAAGATAAAGCAAAAAGATAAATATGACATAGAATGAAATCCACACAGACAACCATAAGCTGTTTTAAATTGTTTCGTAATAATAGATTCTTCATATGATGTCCGAATGAATGGTCTAAAAAAGAAATAGTATATTTCTTTTGTAAATGAGAATAATTCAATTTCATAACAGAAATCGGATATAAGCACTTTATTGTAGTAGTTCTCTGAAAATATTACCTGAGCCCTGGAGAGATGCTCGATCATCTCTCATATATGAACCGTTACGTTAGCGACAACAAAGAAGAAAATTTTCTTTTTTTTTACCAATATTTTCTGTCTAGAAAAACAATGCCTAAACAACTTTTCTGTTGTGTAAAATTAATATAAGAAATCTAAATGCTTTACGATTTCTCTCAATAGGAAATATTGATCAAAAAACAAAATGAACTGTTTTATAGCTGCTAATACGACGCTTAAAATAAGATCTATGTTTGTATTTCTATTAACAAATGAAAGACTATTATCTAAAGCCACTATAGCAAAGTGCCTGCATCTTGCTTTAGTTTTATAGCAAGTGTGAAAGCTATAATGTATATATATATTAAATACAAGTCGATCATATATTTTGACTAACATCAATGCCTGCCAATATCTTATAATGTTTGTAAATATGCAATAAAAGGGAAGTCAACTCTTTACAAAAGTTAATTTGTTGCTAATTTAATTGCTTTCATTATTGATGTTTTGAATGATAAAAGGCAAAATAAAGGTATGCTTGCATCTTTACCTTACACTGTTGTTTGTGAATGATGCAGAAAAAAGAATCGTATAAAATGTTTTTGTCGCAGTTACGTATGCTGGTCATTTTCAATAGATACTTCGATGAAGAAAAAGTCAAGGTTTTATATTGAACATTGGCATATTTATGAAAAGTAACGAATGAGTCGATGAAACAAGCATAAAGACGAATCGGTGAATAAGAGAGAGTAGGTTTTTTCGTACTTTTAATTTTTCTTCTTCGAAATACAATTGTTTATCTGCCTTTTGACGATTAATGGTCTGTATTCGATTGGTTTGAATATGACACATTCTATTCAAATTGAAAATTTCCAGTAACTGGATGTAAATGTGGGTATGAAGAAAATATCGGCATCCGTACCATCTTGAGGGCGTGATGAGAGTGTCCAAAAATATTATTCTGTTTTTTAAGCCACTTTGAAAATTAATTTTTGAACTTTGCTTAAACGCTGGCAAGAACTTCAACTCTTTTAAGTAATAGTTTATGATAATAATTTTCTTTCTACAGCAAAGAAAAAGTATTTCAGATTATTTTTGTTTTCAAAATCTAATGAAACAAATAAAGAGAATAGCTATTTTTTTTTGTGTAATCACCAATAGATTAAATGTTCATCGCTGTGATTGTTCGATTATGAATGCAGTTATTGTTATTATTGGCACATTCTTAACAAGTTAAAACACAGAACGTGTAGAAAAGTATGTCTTACAATTATTGTCTTTCTATGATGCGTTTTACAAAAGTAATGTGGTTAATTGCTAAGATTGCTGAAAACATATCTACAATGGAGTTTTTTTTTCTATAGTAAATTCAATAGTAAGAGTTCAAAATATATTTTAAGGTCATTACATATTTAAAGTTCTCTTTACATGATTGACCTTAACAACCGCCACATAATCATTTTCATTTTTTTTTGTATTTTCTTAATCGATAAAATAATGCGAATAAGAACTAGGTCTATTGAATCATCAAAACATGATGCCATTTTGCATATCTTGATGATCCTATTGAAGAATTTACCTTCTGTTGCTTTAGTCTATACATTTTCCATCGCTGATCTATTTCATGTCTCTGCTTTCAACTTATGTCAGCGAACTCCATGATACTATTTGGTGTTTTTATCCAATTGTAGGCCTGCATGTGTGGTGTTTTTGATCTTCTCTTATGCCAAAATCTCATATAGAATCACATTCTCAATGTATCACAATAATCTCTAAGAACGAATCAGTAATTAGTGATATACATGATCATTCTTACTTTTACTGCTTCAATTTACATATTTTTCTTTGCCATTGCATTACTCATAATTTAGACAAAAGGCAAGTTCTCTATGAATATTAATTACATGTATTTTTTTTCTTCGTGTCTGTTATTCGTCTTCAAATGAGACTAGAGTCTTTTCGATTTGATAAAAGATTGAAAGAAAACAAAATGGTCTACTAATGCTGACATAACTCTCATCAAGTCAGATATAATTTTAGTCTACTGGAAGGCATCACATAAAAGGATATGTTAAATAATTATATGAGAAATAGTTTCAGCTGTGTTGTTTTTATTATTATGTCTTGTCTTCTCTCCATATCTATCTATTGTCCGTAAAATCAGTTTGCTTTTAAAGACAAACGCAAAGAATGTTTCGATCCGTACTACTATGCTTTATTTATTTACCACAATTATGTACAACAATTCCTTATGATGGAATTATTCATCGATCATCTGATGGTAGTTCTTATGCATATCTCTCTCCACCAAGAACAGGCAATCATGCATCATTTATCGAACAAATGACACCAACTGGTACATTAGCAGTTGCTTGGTTTACAGGTGGTGAAGATTTACCAAATTGTTCAATAGTGGTATCACTTTTAGATATTGATTCACAACAATTTACTCCTGGTGTTATTGTTAGTGAACGTGTTAATTATTCAAATCAAAATCCAGTACTCTACTGGGATAATAAAACACAAATCTTACATTTATATCATTCATCACAATTAGGTAATGCAGGTGAAACAAATTCTGAAATATGGCATGTAGAAAGCAAAGATAGAGGTAAATACACTCTACAAAGGACTTTTTTTTTGAAAAGACTAATTTAGTTTATTAGGTGCAACTTGGTCAAGTCCTAAATCTTTCTATACAACACCAGGTGCTTTTGATCGAAATCGTATTATTTCTACATGGAAAAATGATGGCGTCATTTTTCCATGTTATAATACATCAACAAATTCGGGTTACTCATTTATACTTCGATCCAACTTTGTTACTTCAACTTGGACACGTACTGATATTCCAATGACCACTAATTTTGTTCAACCGTCAATTGTTCGTTTGAACAATTCTTCACAATTGCGAGTATTTTTTCGTGATCGAAATGCTGTATCGATATATTATGCTGATAGTTATGATGATGGATTAACATGGACAGTGGTAAAACCTACATCTTTTCCAAATAACAATGCAGGCATTGAAGCATATATATTAAAAACTGGAGCTTTAATTATGGCATTCAATAATCATAATGGAACAGATCAACCAAGATCACCATTAACAATTGCACTTTCTTATGATAATGGAATAACATGGCCGTATAAAAGAAATATTCAAATTCATGATGATGATAATAATACACGAATTGGAGAATATTCATATCCATCATTATTACAAAGTTTTTGGAGTGGAAGTGATGATAATGATATTCATTTAGTCTATACATATGATAGAGAAACAATAAAATACGTTCGATTTAATGAAAAATGGATTAAAGAAACATATTAAATTTATCAATATTTAATTAGATAGTAATTCAATATCTTTTATGAGAAAATAAATCCATCATAATATTTTCCTCATGCATCTCTGAAATATAATATTTGCTTTTCCTTACAGTTTTTCTTGTTAATTAACACCGACTTAAAGTAATTGTTGTTGTCACTGATATCAACATCATATGCCAATGATTGTTTCCAACAGAAAATTCATTCCTAAGATTAGTTTTTATTCCGCTTATAAATATCTAACTACGTTTATGTTTTGACAGACAAGGTATGCTAATTTGTATAAAAAAAACAGGCTGACCTATCTATGTTGAAAAAGAGATATAGTCAATCTGCTCTTCTCAACTCTTGCTTTTCATCAATCGATTGTTTTGTCGAAGTTAAATGAATGTGTTAAAATAATAAGTTATTGTGCTTTGTATAAAAAAAATCATTAAATAAATGCAGAGTTTAATTCGCCGACGCGTTTCATGTTACTTATTGATATAATGAAAACACTCATCAGGACTCTGCACTGTATTACAATTTTGAAGCACAAGGAAAAAAGAGAAATTGCAAAAATGGAAATTAGAGCAGATTAATAAAAAAGATTTTTACGAACATTAAAAAAATTTTTTGATACAAAAAAGGAAGAAAAAGAAAAACAAAATCATACTAGCACAGTGGAATAAAAAACTTCCTGTTTACATTTCAAAGAAGAAATGAGAAAAACAAAAGTCACACTAGTAAAGTGGAATAAGAAGTACAACCATAAAAATTGCTTTTCTTAAATAGTTGATGGATCATTTCAGAGCGTCCAATTTTATCAGAAGCTTGTGTATCAATTGGAATCTAAAAAGTAAAATGACCACATTCATCAAGATTCTTTCACCTTGTAAAATCCATTAGCATATGGATCAGATAATTTAATTTATTTATTGTGTACTAGCTGTCGTTGTAAGTTTTGAACATTACGTGTACCAAGAATTGGTCTAATTTCGTTAATAGGAGATTCGATAAAATATTCATTCCAAAGGATATGAAATTTTGTTGGGAATGTTTTCATATTTAAACCGAATGTAAAATGAACAAACATTGACTTCCCATGATCAATTGGAATTTTTTCTTCTATTCCAGTAGAAATAATTTTTTCACGTAGTGTGTCGTAATTTTTAGATGTTAACACTTGATTGATATTATTTTGATGTAATACACGACTGAATTGTTTTTCTATAAAACCAGCTGGATATTTGTTTAATAATAAAGCCATTCGTAACTTTTCACATTCATTTAAATATGCTTCAAATGTCGAACAATATCTAATAGCTCGAAGAAACACAGCAAATGGAATATTCTTTTTCATATGCATAGGGTGAACGCTGTTAAACGGCAAATAATATGGTTCGTAACATGGTTTATGATACACTTTTGTAAATAGATGTCCATTGATATTCTCTATATATAAATCGAGAGGGTGGAGTGTGGGTGTGGGGTGTGAATTCATACACGTTCTACGTCCGCACCCACACTCACAACAGAGGTGGGCGATCCACGGGTTTCAACCCGCAGGGCCACGTGGTGACGGCGGGGCGGGAAGCAAATTTTTTTAGTTCTTCGAGATTGGCGGGGTACGGGTTTTGTTCAAGATGCGGGCGGACGAGACAGGCAAGGCTATTTAAAAAATATACGGGGTGCAGGCGGGGCGAGGATAGATATGCACGGGTGCGGTCAGATAAAGAATTTTTGCGGGGCACGATGAAGGACCGTGACTATTTATCGATAGATGTCGTTATTCTAGATATGCACTACGAAGTATCTAGTGGTTCGTTCATTATTTTCATCCTATTAATAGCTCCAGGCTTACTTCTTTGTTTCTTCCTTTCTTTATCGTTTTTCACATTGAACTTCGATTATTCATTTGCACTAACAAGCGAAAAAATAAAAAAAATCATTTGATATTTAGAACTAATATTTGAAATCTATTGACTCTAGTGTCGATAACAATGATCGAATTACATGATTTATCATCTGATGAATTATTTGATAGTATGATGTCATTAAATGCCTCTCGTTCATATTCAAAGGTTTCTGCATCTCTTGCAGTGATGGGACCGGTTCGGTTCGGTTCGGTTTGGTTCGGTTCGGTTCCAAATATTCGGAACCGATTCCATCCAAATATATGTTAAATAGATTTAACTTTGTTAGAGTGCTCTAACATACATCTTTATTTCTTATTATCTTCTTCAACTTGTGTGTATGAGTTATCATTCGGATATACTTTATCTACTCTACATACGTAGGTCAATGGATCTGATTTTTCTTTTCTTCCCTTCTCTTCTTTCTCTCTACCTCTTTTCTCTTCTACTTTTCCTATCCGGTCATGACAATTTCAATAAATTATCAGTCTTTTTTTCTGTTCTACACCTAAGGGCCTTTCAATAAAAGAAGATGTTGAACGTAATCTTTTTTATATAAAACAGTCTAGGCTGGAGTAGAGATCACTTATTCATCTCTCTCCTTGTATTTCACTTATATATGTTTCTCTCTCTCTCTCTGTCTCTCTTATGTATGAAAAAATATATATGTGTGAAAGAAAAAGGAAAGGGAACATAATAATTCGAATAAAATTGAATATCGGCTGAATCGAACCAAAGAAGATTTTACAAACATTGATTTTCGTTACAGAGATAGGGATCTGTAACAAACATATACACTAAGAGTGGATAAAGAAAGTGCAGCAAATTTCTAATGTTTACTCAACAACTCCATTAGTTTCATTCAGTGCACACTTTTACAGACTACATTTTAGTATGAAGCACTCATATATATATAAATAAATATCAATTAATGATTGCGTTGTAATAATTCATAGCTGATGAAGACAACATTAGTTTCTTTTTAACGTTCAAGGAATATATAACGATGAACATTTAAGTTAAGAAAATATTATCTAAATGATATTTCGAAATAGGTCATTTCACTGAGATTTTCAGATACTTGAAGTTTAATCAGTCATAGTGTTTCTTACATTTGAAAATATTAAAGCGAAATGGGACTTAAAATTTAGGAAACAACGTTGTGTTTTGAAGAACGAGGCTTCCTCTTTAAATAGATGCGTTCACCACCACCATTAGGTTGTTGTTTTCAAAATGCTACACGATATTAAAATCGAAAACTGCAATACCAAAGAAACATGACTATAAACTATGACTTAGGTACATCACTGCTTAAAATTAAGGGCTGCATATCTCATGAGTACAACACCAATCTAAAAATGGCAATCTGCTATTTGCAACAAGTTCCGCCTTGCAAAGACACATCGGGTTTTTCTGTAGTATTACGTTTTGTTTCTTACTTAACATTTGAAAAATTTGGGAGTATTTTAAGATAAAAGCGATGCATTTCAATAATGAAGAGAAAATTATTTTTTGGACATTACAAAGATTATAACTACAGTAGATGTTTCCATCAACTGAGTT